CAGCAATACACTGAAATTGCCAAGAAGATCAAAGCTCTTGAGAATGACCAGTACATTATCAGCATTGAAGTGCGCAAGAGTACTCAGCGACTGGAGGCTGCCAAAGCACTTCAGCAGATCATGGACCAGGAGGTGAAGGTGTGTAGAGGAGCACCCATTATCCCTTGGGATTTTGAATGTGGTCATTTGACCTGAAAAGGGGGTTATGTCATGTTTGACATCGTTCAGACTAGTTGATCATTGGTATGATGTGTTTTCGGAGTCTCAGAACACTTACTAGACGGTTATGACTATGATAGTAAGTACTCATTAGTCATTGACACTTATGCATCACTGGCAGTTGGGTTAGCCAGTGTTTTAGGTATTATTAGTTCACATGTGATTGTACAATGACTTGATACTAGTATAGTTGTACTAGTGTTTGGATTTAAGCTGCACTTTAAAGCCAGCATGTAACTGTATATAAGTTGTGTAGTAAAGACCAAGGCTCTCTAGCTTGGTCTTCTTGAATCATCACCATTTCAGCTCTTCTCATCTCTGAAAGCATAAGCTTCACTGGAGCTTATAGCATGACTTCACATCATTCTTCTATCCATTCAAGTTCCAGTCTATTGACTGAAGATTAGTCTTCAGACTACCCTATTGTCTAACAAAGCAGATATAGTGGCAGAGCAACTTGGTTACATTGCCAGATCATTTGCTTATCTTGTAATGCTCTAATCTCAAGTCCAAGTTGGACTAGCGTTAGGTGATAATGCTACAAACTTGCCAAGCAAGGTGACTTCTCTATCCATACAGTACAAGTATATGGCTACTATTTTACTTTACTACTCTTCTTGCTCTTCAATTTCATCCTCCTCAACATTAAGCAAATCTAATCCTACATGTTTTCTCAATATATGAACTCTTGCCTCATATTCCCATATTCCAACCAATTTAGTGATTCTGAATGTTTCCATGACCATAAATTCCTCAGACCACTCATCATATGACCTCCCCATGACATCAACCATGTTTATTAGTTCATGGTAGACCACAACACTATGACTTTTCTCAGGCAAGGGTAAAATGCCAATGCCTCTTCAAAAATCAGCCCCCCTCTCAGAGATTCAAAGTATCTAGATGACCTGGAAGCTTGGCCTGCTTCTTCAGATATTCTGCTTCTCTCAAAGTGATATCTCCTGGTATGACACACTTTCCCCATCTCAGAATTGGCATATCTGTATCCAATGTGACTCCAAGATAATCACAAATTGCAGCAAGGTGATCATAATGTTCTGAAGGACTATTTGTCTCCACTTTTTTGATTGGAAGTGACTATTACAAATGGTCTCTCTTCCCCTTTTTATCTTGGAGAAATCTTTATCATTGGACAGTGCAAGTTCAACACCTTTATGCTTGCCCTTTCATAGAGCATTGTAGCAATATTAGCAATGGTTGCTTTTTTGGATCTAGGATCTAACTTTATGTCCAATCTCTCCAATGGCCCTCTCAACTGTAGCTTGACCAAATCTGATTGATCCATTCCATGAATATAAAGGGCAATGTGAATTAACTGCCAGAGACACAGTCTGCATCTTAAACCTTCTCTGGTTTATTTTGAACATAAAGCCTTTCAAAGCCTTCAAGAAAGGACCCAATTAAATTGTGCAAAGCATATAGGTTCTGATCAGACTTTGGTGTGTGAGACATTGCCACTTCAATGATGCTCACAAATTGCACAATGTTCTTTAGCACTTCTCTATCAAAGTCTAGCTCCCATGATATTGGTATTATAAACCAATGAAGAGGAGCCATCCATGCATAGACTCTGAACTGACTGTCATGCTTTAGATATGGATTTTGTTGCACAGCAACCAGCATGGCAAACAGTGTTACAGAGTCTCACCTTGTAAAGGTTTAGAGACTGGTAGAGTGGTTTGTAGAGTGTATAGCTCAAGTGTGTGTAGAGTGAACGACTTGTATTCTTAGAGGGGCTCTACTCCCCTCATTTTTAGGAAAACCAGTCCCTATGGTCCCACCATGTCCATTACACAATAAGTGATGAGTAAAGGTGTCCACAATATCATGTTTTCAGTGACACCTGATGTGAAACACCTTAGAACTCTTCGGTATCACCACATATGATGCTGATAAGAGTTGTGCCCTCCATTCTGGAGTTTGTGCCCACTTTGTGCATAACAGAATACCCTAATATGGTAATCATATGTACAATACTACTATAATGTCGTAACTTCTATAGATAAGATATGTATGTAATTATTACATTTCAATAGATTTCTGATTGATGAAGAGAAGGATGGAGGAAGGGTCTTCATTGCCTTCTCAATCTCTTCACCAAGCTGTGAAGCCATTTCTGCAGGCAGATGTATCTCCTCATCTTCAGAACTGTGTATTACCCACAAATCCCAGATGTGAACCATGCAGATTTCATAGAACAAATAAAATGGGTCTAGTGGAAAGAATGATGGGTGGAGAAATGTAGGACTAGCTGCACATATTGTGAGGAGTGAGACTCCTGTACTGTGTACAATTCTTGAGTACTCAGATTTATTGAGCAGACTGAAGCCTTTTAATTGCCTTCCAATAATTTCTTTGGCCTCTCAATGGCAAGTCATCCAAATTAAGAAGAGAACATGATGGATTATATGTATCTTTTTCTCAGGTGGAGAGATTAGATAATGTTGGCACTTAGCACCACACTTAGGACAGGCACCTTGCTCCAAACTAAACCTTTTACCACCACATAGAGCTGAATGTCCTGCCATCCCACTTAACTTGGCAGATCCAAGCATGTCTCCTTTCACAGCACAGATGTATGTCTTCAGAACAAAATAGGATGAATCAACAGCATCTCAAGTCCAGATTCTAACAATGGCCCTTGCCATCTCTGCAAAGAGTGGGCATATAAAGGACTCAATGTTTCCAGGTGCTGCTGGCCTTGGTATGGCAAGTAGATCCAATGTCTCCTACAAGACATGATGTCTTGTGGTGCATCTCATAAGAGGTTTTAGCATTGGCTTATTAAGCCTGAATAACTGGTGTAATGGGCATATACAGCATTTTGCCCCTGGCTTTGGTTTAGCTCTGGATGAGGGCTGCTGTGGCTGAAAGCATGGTTCATTACACACATTTTCCTTATTTTCATGGAAGCAATAGAGATCTGACTGAAAGTCTCTAGCAAATGACATGCAGCTTTTGGGGCACAGATTCACAGATAAGGGCTCAAGACATGCAAGATCCAAGGCTAGCTGTCTGACTCTGTGAAGGCTAAGCCTCTGAAAGCACCCTTGCATGGGCACCATATGCTTTCACTGTGCCATTAGACTCTTTCCATGCAATGTAGTGTTAAAGAGACAATCTCTCTGCCCTAGATAGCTCAGGCTGTGATGGAACCTGACTAGAACAGAAAGAAAGGGTGTATTCCATCAACAGCTGTTCTCGAATCTGAGTGACAAATTCTGGTGAATTGCCATGACCACTGCCACCACTGGCATCATCAATATCAGGGAACCCCTCTGAAGGCAAGTCATCAGGCTCTGAAAAGCCATCATCTTCATACAGCTCATCTTCTGAGCTAGGGTCTGCATCAAAGTCCTTAGGAGCCTCCAAGGTCTCTTTCAAAATGTCAAACATAACAATGTTGTCCTGATTCAGATTCAGATGATACTTTAGCTCACATTGATCTCCTTAGTCCATAGGCACAGTCTCCTGAACAAAAGACGGGGGATCTACAATAGTGGTGTCAGAAAAAAAAATTAAAGTAAAAGAACAAGAACATGGAAAAAAGGAGGGCTGAGAGAGTGTGGGAAAAGGAAGACAATGAGCAGGTATGAGCAGATGCTGATCTGAGAGAAAAAACTGTCAATCATGATAGCATCAACCTCTGTCAGTTCTTCCTTCAAAAATTGAGGTGAATCAATAGGGGCATCAGCTAGATCAAAGCAGATCAGTAATTGATCAAAACTATAAGAAATTAAGTGCTCATCAGCCTCACCACCTGGATAATATGATCCAGATTGCTCCCCATGAGTCTCCTCAGTCAGACTATTAAGCAGCTCTATCATCTGATAATAACTGTCATACACAAAGTACAAAATATCCTGAGTTGCCCCAATGGCTGTAAGATGATCAAGATGATTTTGATTCTGTTTAAAGTGAGTATGAAGTGTCTTTCTGATAACATCCCTCCCAGATTTGCACTTGAAGCAAGGACAAGTATACTTTGAGGCCATAGATCTTGCAGCTAAGTGTGCAGACTGGCAAGACATAGAGCCAAAGAGGCAGATAGCAGTTGTTGTGTTGTTGTGACTCCAGGCCACTGTGCAGCTGCCACATTGCTAAGGCACTTGTTCATTTTTTTTGTTGGTTCATTAATCCAGTTGAAACTAAAATAGAAGTAATTATCCAATAATAAAATATTTATTATAAATTGGAGTTTTTTCTCTTTTAGTTTCTGAATTATTTACATTGATAAACCATTACTTGTTTAATTCTTTGTAAATAAATCACTTATATTTTAATTTATAAGAAATTTATTCTATTTTTATTGTAATAAAAATGTTCTGTACTATCCCTATAAATTACATTATTTTTTAAATAAATATAAAATATATTAAAATACTTAGAAATATAACTTTAAATAATGATTCAGATTCTTTAGAATTTATTTTAATTAGAAATGTTATTGATGCAATTAATATTTTAATATTTATACAAATTAAATTTGAATCTATCTACGTATTAATTTATTTTTGGTTTCTTAAATTACCACTAATTTATATATATATAATTACAATATTTGAATAATAAAATCAATTATTTAATCTAATTGATAATAATTTAAATTTATTTCATTATTCACTATTAAATAAGATTATCAATTTTTCAATTAAATAATTCTAAATTTAATTATTATTTGTGTTTTAACAAATAAAGTTATATATTATCATGTCAACATTTTGTTTTTTTATTTTATTAATTTTGATAATAATATAAAGTAAGAATTTTCAGATTTAAACTGAAACCCTTTTAAATGACAATTAGAAACTCTACCAATTAAGCTAACATCCCTTAATTTTATGCTTTCTTTAAAAAAATTAATTACATCAATTTAGACAACAGCAAGTCAAGCATCTACCGATATTTTGACTTCATCTCAATGTCTCTCTCCAAAGCACTCATCCCCTACAACACCTGTCCCTCTGCCAAGAGGCCTCAGATTCACTTGCCAACTCCAGAGGATAACTCTCTGGAGATGACATCAATGCCCTGCCACTGGGAGCCAGCCCTCCTTTCAGCTGCCACTGCAGAGCTGGAGTTCTCCCCCTCCAAGAGAGGCAGTGGAACCAATTTTTGAGTTTTTGGGTCCCCCTCAGAGGACTTCCTCTTTCAGGCAGATATCCATCAGTGGGGGAGTTACTTAACATCCTCATACCTTTTGGAGGTGTGGTAGACCCTCTGGATGTGGTGGTGTCTTGTGCAGTCATGGCAGCTGATGAAGATGGCCTTGAGTTGGATCAACAGGCCTTTAGGACTTTAAGGGTGCAACCTCGCCAGACAAAGCTGACTTCAAGGGAGGAGCACAAGCCAAGTTTTGGTGGAGGGCTCATGAGAAGAGAGGTGGGACCCTAGCTGGTGAGAAGGAGCTGGTTCATAGGTCAGTGAAGGGGAGATCACTTGTTTGGTTTTTGCCACTGGTGGTTGCCTGACCACCCCCTGTGTTCTGTGGCCCAGAAAAGGGCAGCTCTTCTTTGTGGCAGTTTGAGCTGGACAAGGCACACAGAGAGGATTTCCAACTCAAGGCGCTGCTGAAGAAACTTGCAAATGAAGGCTATTCTGGCTACTCCTTCAGAGCAGTGCACCCTATTCTTCCTTTTGTTTGCCTTTGACCATGTCTGACAAAGTCTGGTGGACATTAGCTCAACAAGGATATGCAGCCCCTCTCTTATAGGTGGTCCTTGCACCTTATGAAGAAAAGTGGACCCCCAATGTCTTCACAGACCTGGGTTACTGAGTGGCTCAAGTCTTCCACTAAAGGCAGAGTAGTACCAGACACTGTCTGGGAAGGCCTGGCCTGCTGTGTGTGTTGGCAGGGTGCTTTAACCACCAAGTCTAAGGACCATGATGCTCTGAGGTGCCCACTTCTTGCATCTTTCAACAAGGTCAGGAAGAATGCCAGGCTTGCCCCGTTGACATTACCAGCATGAGGTTGTCTGCTAGCCTGCAGAAGGCATCAATGGGGGTGGAAACTGTTGAGAAAGATGTTAGGAAGGTTGAGAAGGAGCTCAAGGGGATCATCTCAGCTCTTGAAAAAAGGCTGATTTTGATGGAGAAGCAAGCTGGTCTGAAGCACAAAGCTGAAGACAGTCAGTCCTCTGCCCCCCCAGAGAAGAAGAGGAAGAAATCTGGCAAGGAAAAGGCCAAAGGGACAGAGGAGGAACAATCTGAAGCACAGCAGAGTGTGTGGGCCAAGGGCAAGGGCAAGGGCAAGGGGAAGGGGAAGAAGAAGAAACATGGTCCCTCTACCTCTTCTTACACCTCTAATGATAGCTTCTTGGGAGGATGTGTCACGATTGACATGTTACGGACTAATTATCAGCATCATTACGAGGTCTCGGAGTTCGGGACACTTACTATACGGTTATGACTACGATAGTAAGCCTTCATTAGTCATGGACACTTACGCATCGCCGGTGTTTGGGTTTGCCAGTGTTTCAGGATATATCATGACTCACTACTAGGATCGTTGTACTAGGGTTTGGTATTCTAGCTGCGCTTTAAAGCCAGCGTGTATCTGTATATAAGTCATATAGTAAAGACCAAGGTTCTCTAGCTTGGTCTTCTTGAATCATCATCATCCGTCTATCCTCTTCTCTTCCAATCTATCGATTGAAGCTTGTCCTTCGGGGTACCCTAGTGTCTATCAATTGACCTAGTGGCAGTGCAACTAAGCTAAGTTGCCCATGATTATCAAGATTCATCCATACACTCAAGCATTACACCGCAGATCGGTTCAAGTCGAACCAGCGTTAGGTGATAACGCTACAGGATGACTGAAGTGGAATCTGTTGAGCTTAGCTTATAATTGTTCTTTGTACTCTATGTGTACAAATATGATGCCAAATTTTTTGCCTCTTTGTAAGGGGTGCCATCCCCTTGTGTTGATGTTTGAAATGGCAGGCTAAAGTTCCTCCCCCTTTGTTGCTTGAGCTGTGTTGTTGCTCTCATTGAGGTCACACACTGAAACCCTTTTCGATCTATGGCACTCATATTTGGACACCTGGCATGAGCAGCAAGTTCTACCCTGGATATTGAACCCTAATGCTACCCATCTGTGAACAGTTAAGCGGCCTTGTATGAGTGGGGTGACTAATTGAAGGCCTGAAGGGGAGCCCACCTGTAGTGTCATGTTCTGACATCATTCCACTCTGGATGAACCAAAGCAATGCAAGTGCATGCATGAACACTGGAAGAATTGCCAAGATTACCCAGAAGCTCACAAATGGGTGTGGCGACAGTCAGAATATGATGAAGAAGAGGAGCAAGTACATGCTCTTGTATGGGCCCAAGCTGATGGTTGGCCAGAGGCAGAAGAAGAAGATTATGTGCAGAAAGATGAAGCATTGAGAGTCACCCAGTTAGTGAATGGAATGCTAGTTCATGTGGAGCCATCAGATGCTGGCAACTGTACCGCAGGAAGGATTGAGTCATGTGATTAGATCATGTGCAGTCTCAGGTCATGTGTCGTCATGTGGTAGCTGATCTAAACCATAAGTCATGGGACTTCATTGGATGGAAGGTTCTGGAAGGTTAGTCGGCATGAGGTTGGATGCAGAATTCCCAATAAGCCAAAGGTCTGGACAATTCCCAGTATGGGTTGATTCTGATGGAACAGGTTCTGATGCACTGGTATTGTGCTGAGACTCTTGTTATCTTGGATTGTGATGTCATTTGTGAGTCATGTGGTATTCTTTATCTCTGACTCATATGGGGCCATATGAGTTGGCTTTTTTTCCCATCCAGATGAACAAAGTTTCGCACACTCAAAAAGGAAGGTTACCCGTACTTGGCTTCTTCTCGGCAGACTCCTCAACAAAAATATTATTTTCATACTCAGTCAGAATATATAAATGAAGTCATTTTGATAAGTGATGCATTGCATTATCAAACAAATTAATTATGTAACGTGCCCCTGTGGCCAGGGAGGTTACACAGTGGCGCTGGCAAGGAAGCAAGGGTGAATGGCGGTGCAGTGGAGTGGTGGGGGCACTGAAAACTGTCCCAGTCTGGCTGTGGAGACATCGCATGATGCCGCTAGCGACGAAGCGAAGGCACCGGTGGTGACGGGGAATAGCGGGACGGTGGGGTCTCTGTGAAACAAGTTGTGGTAGTGGGAAGTTTGTGTTCCACGCTTGGCGGATGGTGTCAGAAGGAAGGGGAATGCGGTCGAGAGGGGGGAATGGAGGTGGGGCTGAAGCAATGTTGTGCAATCCAAGTCCGAGTCCGAGAAAGAAAGAACTTGAAGCCTTACAACGCAGCGGCAGGTGGGAAAACAAAGGTTGGGGCAGGGGAAGCATAGCCATGAGCATGAGCCATCGGAGTCACTAGAGCATGCACCAGAATGGGCTGGGA